ATCACAGTGCGGCATCATACAGTTCTGATAGCGTCCTTGGGCACAATAGGGACAACGTATATCTGGGTGATAGGGATGTGTACAATGAGGAAATGTTGGACACCCTTCAGGACAGACGGCGGCAGTCGCAATAGATTGATAATGGCTACGGCATAGATGATGCATTCCACAGCCAAGGCGCACCGCGTCTCTGTCCCGACAGGTGTCACACGAGAGTCGGTCAATAATCCAGAATATCATGTGATATATATATATATGATAAAACTATAAAAAAAAACGATTACCGTGCTTCTTGCTAGTGACGTGGCCTCTCTTAGAGAGTAGCCCGCTCTCGCCGGATCGCCATCGGCGCGCAGCAGATCCCGTTCGGCCACGTGTCTTGCTGCCATTTCTTGGATATCCAAACCTCGATCATCTTCTCCGTCCAGCTCAGCAAAGGGAGCCACGTCCTCATTACCTCTCACCCCCTCCTGCGTTCTTTTCCCGCCTTTTTTCTCCTTTCCCCTTGCCGCCTTCTGCAACTCCGTTAATCCCAAAATCACCTCCGCTTCTCTCGCCACGTCGGTCGGGACCACCTCTCCGTCGAATGAGAATCGCAATCCCGACACCTCGGTCGCAACAGCGGATTTCCCCGACGACTCTGCCGCCGCTCCCCCTCGCAGAGCGTCTGACGAGGACGCCCCCATCCCGATCCCAATATCGCCGACGGGTGAACTCGCAGCCGTCCGATGGAGATCAGCCGAAGATGCAGCAGAAGATTCCCCCCGGCGCTTGGCGGCTGCCGTATTTGGAGAATGGGAGAAGGAGGGGGTAGAACTCTCTCCCTCTCCCTCTCCCTCTCCCTTTCTCTCCGTCTTGTTCGGATACTTAGCGGAAGCATCATCGGCGCCAGCAGCAGCACGTGACGACCCAGTACTGACCGTCGCGATCGGGACCTTTTGTCTCCCTCCTCCTCCTCCTCCTCCTCCTCCTCGTGCAATGTCTCCACAGATCTTTTCTTCAACTCCGTCCAAATGTATCGCTTGATTGCAGATCGGGATCTCATTACCACCAGTCTCTGTTGTCTGTGTCTCGATCGCGATCTCCTCCGTCCTACCCTCCTCCTCCTCCTCCTCCTCCCCCATGAAGCCGTCTTCCTTATCCGTATCCTTATCCATATCAAGACTAGAACCCTTTCTCTTCCCCTTCTTGCCCTGCTCCCCGCCCCCCCCATCATCGGAGACCTCCGCAGCACCTCTAGGGATCCCCCCCGATCCCGATCCCGATCCCGATCCGAACTTCAAATCAGGCAAGTTCGGCGACGATGTGAGCGATGATTTTTTTCCCGCCTTTTCTGCGCCTCTTTTCCTCAGCATATCGAGGAGTTTTGGCGGGAACCGCTCCGCCAGCTCGGCTTGCATTTCCGCAATCTGTTCCGCTGACATGGCGCCAATCAAAGCCCTGTTCTCGGCGTCGATCGCTGCCACGTCAGCAGACATCTTCCCCGCCGTGGGCTTAGCCTTAGCCGCAGACTTCCCGCGCTTTCCACCTCCGTTTCCCGCGCTCAGAAACCCCTCTCCCTCGCCCATCTCTAGACGCCCACCCTCCTCCTCCTCCTCCTCCTCCTCCTCCTCCTCCCTCCTCCCCTTTCCATCCTCCTCCTCCTCCTCCCTCCTCCCCTTTCCATCCTCCTCCTCCTCCTCCCCTTCCTCCGCTTCGCCCAAAAGACCCCTCCGCATCCTCCCCCCGTCCTCCCCATACACAGTCCCGTTCCCCTCGCTTTTGATCGGGATACCGATGGTCTCCGCTGCGTACTGGACACGTGGCGATCTGACGGTACGACCTTCATCATTATCCGGTCGCGATCGGGGAGCAGGCTCCCGAGGACTGGACTCCTCACTCTTACTCAGCTTCATCATCTCCCCCCTCTCTTCTCTCCTCTCTTCTCTCCTATCCCTCCCAAATTTGCTCAGCTTCTTCAACGCGTCTTTTGATCTCCTCTTGGGCACAATCGGTATCGCGACATCGACGGCCTCTGCCGCGTCAATTACTTCCATCTCTGTCAGCGGAGAAACCGCTGCCTGCGCAACGCCGTATAGGTTTTCTTGAGAGGGTTTTGGCACAGGAACCCAATGCTGAAAGCAGGGAAGGAGGAGGAGGAGGAGAATGAAAGAGAGAGGAGAGAGAGAAAGGTGGAAAAGAAATGACCAGACGGCAAACCAAGTTTCAGGAGTGAGTTTTTCAAGACATGAGCTCTTATCAACGAGCACTTCAACCTATATAGTTAGATGCAATCTTCGATCGGACGTCGAAATGGTTTCTGTATTTTCGGCAACTTTCAGTCCAGATACAGTGATGGTTTCTCTAGTTTTCAAGACATGAGCTCTTATCAACGAGCACTCCAACCTTTCTCTCTCTCCCCGAGGGTATGCCGAAACATAGATATGCGGGAAAATAGACAAACGAAAAAAGAAAAAAAAGAAGGAAAAGAATGAAACAGTGAGATGCGAAATTAAAACAGAACGACAATAAAAAAATGATGAACACGAGACACACCGAGTTTTTCTTTTTTCTTTCTTTTTTTTTTTCAACTGAGGTTTCGATGCACTCACACACACACACTTAAAAATACTAATACTAATACTAATACTAATAATTATTATTATTATTATTACAAAAGTATTATTATTATTCTTATTATTATTATTATTAAAAAATCGACAATCGGACGCGAATGAAGCAAGACAAGCAATTGAACCGACGATAGGGACGTCAATGGCAAGTATACAACAGAACCCATCCGCTTTATCTTACTAATAGACTGAAAGTTGCCCAAAATACAGAAAACATCACTGTATCTGGACTGAAAGTTGCCGAAAATACAGAAACCATTTCGACGTCCGATCGAAGATTGCATCTAACTATATATTCTACTTCAGATCGGAGGATGAATGAACCACCAACCAGATATAGATCGGATGCAATCGCCAGATAGATCGGATGTACCTGGACAGAAATTTGCCGAAAATACAGAAAAAAAATATCGCCAGACGGTCGCTTACCATCAATCAAACCGCCTTCGGGACCACTAATCGACTTACACGTGTCATCCTCCTCCTTTTTGAAATCCCAGGCGGTGTGCATGCTATAATTAATCCGCTCCTTTTTTTTCTTTTCTTTTTTTCCGCTCCTCTCTATATCTGTTTTCGAGCATGAGTACACGCATGTAATTTACTTGCAATATTTCACAGTTCGCGTGTAAAGAGCAATCGGCCATTGCTTGTCTTCTTTCTTCTTCTTTCTTTCTTCCTCTCTATATCTGTTTGTTGTTCCAATTTTAACGGCTGTGATGTACGTAACGACTCTCCCATCACAACTTTCGGTCTAGATACATCCCCTACTGACCGTGCGAAGGTTGAATGATAATGATATTGATTGATTAAGATGACGATAATTTAATGATAATTGATTATAATTGATGATCGATGCATATTCTATTTCTGAGAATAATCAATCATGATCTATAAAAATATATCGTATATAGCATAAATAAAATTATATATTTGGCTACATTAGTATTACTATATATCATTGTCCTATTTATGATATAAATACACCAAAAAGAATGTAAATATTGCTATATATCGTTATACATCATGATGATTCTTGATTATGATTCTTGATTATGAATCTTGATGATGATTATTGATGATGATGATGATGATGATGATGATGATGATGATGATTTCACACCGGCCTGTGGAGTAATGAATGGAAGGCTGCAAAATTGACTTGCATTCACCTAATTTCTTGAGCTGATTTATGCTTATGATGACACCTACAACGTACGGTCATTATAGCTGAATTTCAGAATTTGGGGTATCTTTCAGTCTAAATACAGCTATAATGACCGTCGGTACGTTGTATTCGGGGGGAAAAGGGCAACTCTAAAAGCGTATATATACCATGCTGCGTTGTGGTTCCTATAGCCGCTACCAACTACTCGGAAATGCGGTCAGATTCATGCAGAAATGTGTCCTAGTGTGAGTGAGTACCCTCTAATTAGTGCATGCAAGAGCGGCGACCCCACCCTTACGTCTTCTTTATCCAGATGGATGGGCACGTGCAGGTCCATGCATGCATGCAAAAAATCCAAAAAAAATGCAAAACATCCAATAAAACTTGCAAAAAATCCAATGAACATGCAAAACATGCAAAACTTGCAAAAAATACAATGAACATGCGAAACATGCAAAACATGCAAAACATGCAAAACATGCAAAAATCTAGGCTACCAGTCGGGACGCCCGGGTCACCCTATCTTCCCGGACGGCCCGGCCGTGCAAGGACCAGGGATGGTCCTAGCAAAAAAACAAATCAAAAAAATCCGACAAAAAAACTATGTGATGCAGAAAAATAAACTGAACAACTTTTGCCTCAGGGTCACATCGAAATTCTTTACCAAATTTAAAATACAAAATAAAGTTTAAAACTTCTTTTTTTTTTCTTTTTTTCTCTTTTTTTGGCCCGGCCGGGCAAGTGGCCCCGGGCCACTCTGGTAGCCTAGGCAAAATTTGATTAAAAAAATGATAACAACCATAAAAGATGCAAAACCCGAACATGCAAAAAATGCAAAACATGCAAAACATGCAAAAAATTTACGTACGTACGTACGTCTTTTTCTTCCTCACTGAAGCGCAGTGTCCGTTCATTCATTCATCATCTCCTTCCGTCCCCATAATCAAATCAAATCAAATAGAGCAGCACTCGTGCCCTAACACATCAACAATGCGCTTTTCATTCTCTGTTCGTTCTCCTCTCATTTTGTTGTTTTCTTTTTTTTTCTTTTAACTTCTTTTCACTTTTTTTTTACCCCTTGGAAGTATATCATTCATCATTGTACTCACCGGCCCCCGCTAATTCAGAATGGTCTCATTACTCTGTTCATCTGATTGCATCGGGATCCCAACTTGCGTCTGTACTTCTGTTCATCTGATTGCATCGGGATCCGAACTTGCGTCTGTACTTCTGTTCATCTGATTTCATCGGGATCCGAACTTGCGTCTGTACTTCAACAGTTCATGACTTGGCGCGCAACACGGCTTCTTTTGAGAATACAAAGCCTTCTCATCGAGTATATAACGAAAAGGGGGTGCGAGGGGGGCCCGGCTGGGATTGGGGCGAGGGGGGGGAGGAGGGGGAATTGCAAAAAGAAAGGAGGAGCCAGGGGGGGGGGGGGGGGGGGGGACAAGGGGGGGGGGGGGGGGGGGGGGGGGGGGGGGGGGGGGGTCGTTGCACACACTTACCGGTCCTGCCGCTCGATGTCGGGCGACCGGGAATGGCAGAACGGTCGGCTCCGGAAGACGGACACGTGGCGACGTGCGCACGGCGCCATCGTCATTGCTATTTTTAGCTTTCTCCTTGACCGAGGAGGCGAACCCTTTCTCCCTGATCGATCCAAGGAGAGGGAGGGGCTGATACTCCTCGCTCCGTTCTGCTCCTCTCCCTCTCCCTGCCTCTCTTCTCCCACTCCCTCCCTTCTCCTTCTTCGGCCCCTCCTCCCCTCCTCCTCTCCCTTTTGCCAACGCATCCGGAATCAACGAGGCCTCCAGGACTTGGCGCGCAGCGTGGCTGATAGGCAATTGCCCAGCGGGAGCAAAAATGGGCGTACCGCCGGGAGGGGAAGGAGGAGCCTCAGATCCTGTCCTCGTCGTCCCGACGGCGGCTGCTGATGAGGTAGTGCGCGCCGCGATCCCGATAGTGGGGGGCCTGGCCGTGTACGAGCGGATTGCTGCCGGTCGTGCACCCTCCGTCCTGGCGGCGTTGCCGACATCCCGCTCCCGATCAGACCCTCTTCGACGAGGGAGCGTCGTCTTGGTTTCTTCCTCTTCCACAGCTGTCGGGATCCCGATCAGACCCTCGACTAGGGACACATCCGATGTCGTCTTCACCGATGATGATGATGATGATGATGATGATGACCTGGAACGAACCTTCCCCGATACTTCCGCCGACTCTACTCTATCAAGGGAGGAGGAGGCCCTAGTCTTACCGCCAGAGAGACTCGCAGACAAGGAAGAGGAGGAGAAGGAGGAGGAGGAGGAGGAGGAGGAGGAGGAGGTGGTGGAGGTGGAGGAGGTGGAGGGGGTGGAACGCAAGCACGCAGAGGGAGAAGGGAGAAAATCAGATGACCGATTTGTACCGTCGGATTCGTAGATAACGAACGGCTGAGATGCGCGTTGATGTTTTGATCTTACTCGAGCTGCAGGAGTCTCTTCTCCCTTCAGAAACCGCTCCTGCAAGGCGAGGAGTTCTTCTTCCGTCTTCACAGACCGGCTGTGTTCGATCCAATCTGTTCCGTACATCTCTCCTATTCCTCGACTTCCAACCATTTCCCCTTTTCCTCGTGCTCCCATTATCACCAAGATCAGATCTCCTCTGTGTGCGAGTGTGTGAACAGATCTCCTCTGTGTGCGAGTGTGTGAACAGATCTCCTCTGTGTGCGAGTGTGTGAACAGATCTC